GGTGAAGTTCTGGTCCCAAGCATTGGGGCCACATGGCTTCCAGGATGTCTGCCCCACTACTGTGTTATCAAGCTTGAGCACAGTGCTGACGTCACCTGGAGGCGGGCAGGGGCATTGAGAAACACTGAGGGGGTGTGTGGAGGATCCTCTTGTACCTGGTTAGAAAGATCCTCCCTGAGGCCCCTGGTGACACTTTACTAGGGTATCTTTTCAAACCCATCTGGTTTTTGTCTTTGACATCAAGGCTGTCAATCTACTTTTTAAAAAAAAATTATTTTATTATTATTTTGTGTGTCTGTGTACCATCAAATCAGATCTGACTGGTACAGGAGGAGATTGTCCCTCCTTTCCCGGCAGAGCATCTGGTGGATTCGAACCATGCACCTCTGGGATTGCAGTGCAGCTTCTTGCCACTAGTCAATCTACTTCGAATTGACTTTGTGTGTGGTGTGAGGTAGGGATCCAAATTAGTACTTATTCTAGCTGGAAGTCTCAGGAATATTTACCCTAGAAAGTATCTACCTTAGAAAAATGAATGCAAGCATATAACAAAAGATGTACATACACATAATTTCACATAATAGCCCCAAATGAGAAACGTTCCACTGTCTATTAATAGGAAAATAGATAAATTATTAGCCTTAATAAGCCTACAACATGAAACTACTGATACTTAGTCTTAACCCAAAAAATAGCCAGCACTTTGACACAGCTCAACATGATACGTAAGACAAATTACACAGCAGTAACAATGAACGAACAGTATTTTATCACAACGTTATAGGTGTTTCCTCACTGCTGAATGATAGAAGCCAGCATACTGTATGATTCCACACCAAAGCTCACACACCAGGCAAAATTCAACTATAGCGTGAGCAGCTGTGCACATGGGAGTTAAAGCTCTACATTAAAACGAGGGAACCGAAGCCCCACGTTAGGAAAGGGGCAGCTCTTGGGACAAAACTGATACGTGGGCAGGGAAGGCTTTCAGGGTGCTGGCAGTGTTCTATGTCTTGTTATTCTTTCTATTTACACACATTTCTGCTGTATGCACACATTTGGAAAGTTACAAACGTGTGGGATCCCAGCACACATCACCAACCTTAACCCTTAACTCACTGGTGTTTTCGGCTTCTGCTTTGAGGCTGCTCCGACCGCTGAGGCTTCCACTCCGGCTGTAAAGCCCCCGGGTTGGGCGGCTCAGGAAGGGGGTGCGGCTGTCGGAGGCCCCAGGTCCTCCCGCTGAGGGTGAGGGATTCCAGGGGATGGTCTCTGGGAGGTCTTGGCAGCCCACCACACGCACCTCCAGTGTTCCTGTGGAAGGGGCAGGGTCAGTGGGGGCCATGTCTGGGACAGGCTGAGGTGTGCAATGCTACCAAACTGGGTATGTCCAGAAGTGGCCAGCATGCAATGGGGTGGAGCAGGGGGTGGTGGTGTCTGCAGTAGGAACATCTGGGACCAGATGCTGGAAATACAGTACAAGAGACCTGAGGGCTGAGGCTGAAGTGAGTCAGGCAGTGCTGGATGCTGGGGTTCAAGGAGACAGGAGGTTTAGCGCAAAGGCCAGGGTTCTTGGTCAGGAGGAACAACACAGCACTGGGGGAGTCTAAGGCGGGATTTGGCATGCTAATCTGGGGCTGAAGGTCTATGGTGGAGCTGGGTGGAGGGCAAGGGGACAGAGAGACTGAAGTAAGGTGTGGTTGCCGCGCTGGGGGTTCAGAGGTTTGGGTTTGATAAGTAAAGGCTCAGGGACTGAAGCTGAAGGAACAAGACCAAAGCAGGTAAAAGTGGGCCGAAGGGAGGGTCAAGGAGGAGGGCCCAAGTCCAGAATCAGATCCCAAGAAGAATTCCAGGGAGCGTCTGGCCTGGAGAAATGGGGTCGAGGGCTAGAGGGCTGAGGCAGATGGATGGCGGAAGGGACAGGATGGAGTCCTGTGCTGGGCCAAGTGGGGATTTAGGGCTGTGAGTGGTGGGGATCCCATCTGGCAGTGCACAAGTCTAGAACTGGACATCCCTGACAGGGGCTCTCAGGATTGGGGAAGCAGGTAAGTAAGTAGTGGGTGCAGAGCTCCGGGGTGGGGCCCACCTGTGAGCGGCGCTGGCTTGCACAGGGTGCTATAGTGCGTGGCGGGGAACGGTCCGGCCAGGCGGACGCTGAAGGCTGCAGACGAGGCTGCAGCGAGCTCCTCCCGCAGGAGCCTTCCCTTGGGGTGGTCCGCGGGCAGCTCCCCGAGGCGCCGCTCCAGTGCCTCCCGCAGCAGCCCCAACTTCTGGTTGGACTCGGTTAGCTTCTCCTGGGCCTGAGGCGGGGAGGAGGAGTAGGGGTGCTGAAGGCCAAGCGCTGACCCAGGCCCTACTCCAGACTGGTTAACTCTCCCCTGGGGCTCCTGTGCCTTCTCTCAGTGCCATCCAGTTAGACCAGAAATGACCCGTCAGCAGCTTTTCAGAAAGAGTCAATCACACTGGAGGGGCCTGTCCATCTGCCTCCCGCCAAGCAGCCGGTGGGTTTAAACCACCCGCATTTGGGTTGGCAGTGCAACTCCTAACCACTTTGCTGTCCGTGCTGTCAAGTCCACCACGACTCACAGTAACCCTATGAACAACGGATCTGAACCTTGTGCTATCCCAGGACGGCATCGCCATCTCCAGCATCCCACTGATGCAGCCACTGCGTCAATCTATCTTGTTGAGGGTCTTCCTCTATTTACCACAACCCTTGACCTTTCTAAGCATGATGGCCTTCTCCAAGGACTGACAGTCGCCACCCCCCCCCCAACAACATGCACCAAGTATGTGAGACAAAGTGTCACCATCTTTGCTCCTTATAAGTAGTCCTCTGGTTGCACCTTCTTCCAACCTTCAAACTCAAGCTCATTGCCACTGAGTCAGAAGTGACTCATAGCTTACCCACCAGCACGTTTTCAGAGGCTGTAAATTGCATAGAGGAAATTGCCCATTATTCATTCTCCCATGGAGCAGCTGGTGGATTTGAACTGCCTGCCTCTGTACTGGCAACACGACTCCTTACCCGCTAGGCCACCAGAGCTCTTTATTCCTTCTCCTTAGAGACCTAGATTGCAAACAATCTTGGTCTCAGCCCAGGGTTCCTGCTAAAGCAGACCCAGTCATTCACTGAGGCCCCTTGCAGGCAACGGACCTGCCCCTGCCAGTGTGCCTTGCCTTGCAGCTACAAGCTCCTGGCTTCGGCTCTGCCTCTGCTGAGCCCTCACTGCCGGACCCCCAGCCCTGGCTAAGGGCCCGGCCCCAACCCCTCTGTGGAGACCCCACCGCTGCTGCAGCCTGACTCCTCACCTCGCTGACGGCCTTGCGGTCTGGGGCCTTGGCAGCACTGAGGAGGCGCAGCACATTCTTGGCGCCCTCTGCCACCGCGTGCTCCACGCGGAAGTGGTGCCTCAGCTCCTCGATGCGCAGCTCCACGGCCCCCAGGTCCGGATCCCCTGCAAAAAGATGGGGCGGTCAGGCCAGCCTGGAGCCTAAGGCCAGACATGCTGCCGCTGGCAGGAACAGCCACCGGGCACCGGCAAATCGTCCCAGCCACCCCTTCTCTCTCCTATCCGTCAGGGAACAGGCACCATCAGAGCTGCTGTCACACAGACTGAGCTCTGGCCCCCCATACACTGGGGCACTGCCCCTGGGGTCAATTGGCTCTGTCACGAGCACAGCCCTGTCGCTCCTGACCACAGGCACACACATCACCATCGGGCAGAGGGACAGAGTCATCACTGTGACACCAGCATCTCTGCGCTTAAGCCCAGGACCAAGAAGAGCGACTTAGTTGCACTCTGCTACAAACCCACGTCCAGAGAGGGTTCTCAGAACACAGCCACCCAGCTCCTGGACAGGCAAACGACACTGGCCTTTACCCCGTCATGAGGACAATGCAGAGACCTTACGTCACAGGACAATGGACTGTCATACACAGAGATGTCACACACCAACACAGGACACGAACCCCTCCCCCCCCCGAATGAATGGCACAAGGGCTCTATGTCACACAGATACGGGGGAAGTACCCGCCACAGGCACAAGGTGGCAGTCACATCCATGGGTGTCAGTGATTACGACAACTTCTCTACCCAGTCCACACTCACTCAGGATCACACAGTCACAATGTCACCCCCAGGCACACAGTCAAACAGCAACTTATAAACAGCCACACTGACTGCAGCCGCATGGCATTCAGGCAATCACAGAGACTTGTACAAAATGAGAGAGACAGAGCCACATTGTCACCCACGGTTACGATGTCACCCAGTGGCACAGAAACAAGATGACGCCATCATCCAGTCACCCAGAAGCCCACGGAGATTCAGGCTGTTGTTGCTGTGGTTAGATGTGAGTTGGTTCTAACTCACAGAGACCCCTTGTACAAGAGAACTATGTAACGCCCGGTCCTGTGGCATTTAGATAGTTGTTAACTGAGAGCCCGCAGCTGCAACCACTGTGTCCGTACAGCCGCTTGAGGGGCGTCCTCTTTTGCACCGACCCTTTGCCAAGCTTCCTGGCTTTCATGAGGGACTAGTCCCTCCTGGTAAAACGTCCAAAGTACGGGAAACGAAGCCTCGCCAGCCTTGTTCCTCAGCAGCGCGATGGCTGTACTTTTTCCAAAACAGATTTTGTCATCCTTCTGGCAGTCCACAGGGTGTTCACTATTCTCCGCCAACACCATAATTCAAAAGGCATCCACTTCCCTTTAGTCTTCTTTATTCCTGGTCCAGCACGTCTAAAGAATTGTACTAAATAAAAATTATGACTTCAGTATTCCCCACTGCACTGTGGGAAACTCTGTTGGACGGGACGATGGAAGAGGCATTAGGATAAAAGAGAATTCAGTAAGTCAATCTCATGAGCCAGAAGGAACACTTTAGAATTTGTCCACGGCAACTTTGTCCTCACTTGTTTTGGAGAGTTTTTCCATGGAGATAAGTATGGAGAAAGGATACGATGCTTATCCACACATTTCCTGATGGCATATCCTCTAGTACTGTTTTAATGAAGGTCTTGGTGTACGTACAAGTTCTATAACTATTATAATGAATTGTTCTGGATTTCCAATCTTTTACAGACTTGCCTGTAATTTGTTATAATCCACAAAGTCAAATGCCTTTGCAGAGTCAATAAAACACAAGCAAACATCTTTCTGGAATTCTCTGCTTTCGATCAAGATCCCGCTGTGACATTAGCAACGACAGCTCTTATTTCACCTCCTCTTCTCAATCCTGTTTACATTTCTGGCGGTTCCCTGTTGCTAGACTGCCCCATCGTTATGAAATTATCTTTAGCAAATTTCTACCTGTATGCAAGAGTAACAGTGATGTTTATAATTTCTGCATCTTCTGAGATCTCTTTCCTCTGTGCTAGGTACAAATATAGAGTTGTGTCACTTGATTGGCTAGGTGTTACTGTTGTGGTTAGGCGTTAGCAAGTTATTCCCAACTCCTAGCAACCCCCTGCACAACAGAACTAAACAGTGGCTGGTCCTGCCCCAGGCTCACACTTAATGCAGTATTTGAGCCCACGGCTGCAGCCAATGTGTCAATTCATTCCAGTCAGAGTCTTTTCCAAGTTCATGGACATAGATGAGTAAACGCATTTAGCACTGTACCCATTTGTTGAACCATCTCAACTGCTAGGCTGTCAATTCCTGGAGCCTTGTTCTCCCCAATGCCTTCAGTGCCGCCTGGTCTTCCCCCTTTTATACCACTGGTTCTTGTTCGTATGCCGCCTCCTGAAATGGATGAGTCTTATCAATTCTTTTTTGGTAGAATGACTCTGGATATACCTTCTATTTTCTTTAGATGCTTCCTGCATCATTCAATATACTGTCCATTGTTGCTGTTGTTATGTGCCATCGAGTTGACTGCGACTCATAACCACCCCATGCACCACAGTTCAGGACTCTGCCCTATCCTGAGCCAGTCTCACTGTCTCCGACACTCCCATACCCATTATCCCAGTTACTGAGTTAATCCATCTCATCCAAGGCGTTCCTCTCTTGTACTGTTCCTCTCCAAGGACTGGCCCTCCTGTCAACATGTCTGAAGTATGTGAGACAGAGCCTCAAAATCCTTGCCTTCAAAGAACAACCTGGTTTCATCCTCCAGTCCAGATCTGTCTATTCTCTTGGAAGTTGACAGTATGTTTAATACTCTTAGCCAGCACCACTGCTCAAAGACATGAATTATTCTTCTGTATTCCTTACTCATTGTCCAGTTTCCTGATGGCCACAGAATCCTTCAAAGTTGTAATCTGAGGCTTGGATGGCTTTCTTCAGTTAGAGAAACGCTAAGCACGTTTTTCCTTTTTGGTTTTCTAACTCCAGAACTTTGTACATTTCATTATTGTACTTTGCCTTCTTGAGACAACCTTTGAAATAGTCTGTTTTACTTCATGGTATCTTCCTTTCACTTTAGCTACTTTATGTTTGAGAGCAAGTTTCAGAGTCTCTTTGGACATCCATTTCTGTCTTTCCTGTCTCTTTGTTGACCTCCTGCTTTTGTCATGTGCGATGTCCTTGATGTCAACCCTTAACTCATCTGGTCCTGAGTCATTAGTGTCCAATGAATCAAATCTGTCTTCAGACAGTCTCTAAATTCAGGTGGGATATACACAAAGTTGTACTTTGACCCTTATGGACTTGTTTTCATTTTCTTCAGCTTCAAACTGAATTCACAAATGTGCAACAGCTGATCTGTTCTGTAGTTCACTGGTAAGCTCATACCGACTTGATGATATTGAGCTTCTCCACTGTCTCTTCCATTATTGTTGTTTTAGGTGCCATCAAGTCAAGTACACCTCATAGTGACCCTAGGAACAACTTATCTGAACCCTGTCCTACCAGGTGCCGTCCTCACAACCTCTGACACACTCAAGCCCACTGGCCGCGGTCACCATGTCAACACACCTAGTTGGGGGTCTTCCTCTGTTTCACCATTCCTCCAGCTTTCTAAGCATTGATGTCCCTCTCCAAGAAACCACCTCTCCCAGCAACATGCCCAACGTATGTGAGATGAAACGTCATCATCCTGTATATTCCACCTGGCAAGGTCCACACGCAGAGGCATCATTTACATTGTTGAGAAAGGTCACTGTTGTTATTAGGGGCTCTTGACTCAACTATGACTCACTGTGGCCCTTTGAACAACAACTCTGAACCTTGTCCTATCCGGCACCAGCCTCACAATCTCTACCACCTTCACTATTACGGTCACTGTTGTCTATTCACTTCTTTGAAGGGTTTCCTCTCTTTCTCTGACTCGATGTCTTCGCCTGCATGATGTCTTTTTTCCAAAACTGGCCCCTCCTGACAACATGCCCGAAGTACATGAGATGAAATTTCACCAGCCTTGCCTTGAAGCAGCACTCTGGTTGCACTTCTTCTTTTTTAAAAAAAATTATTATTTGTGTGTGTACCATCAAATCGGATCTGACTGGTACAGGAGGAGACTGTCCCTCCTTCCCCGGCAGAGCATCTGGTGGATTCGAACCGTGACCTCGGGGATTGCAGTGCAGCTTCTTGACACTAGGCCACCATACTCTGGTTGCACTTCTTGTAAGATAGACTTGTTTTTTTGGCAGTCCGTGTGATATTCAGTACTCTTCTCCAACACAATTTGAAGGTATTAGTTTTACTTTCGTCTTCCTTACATGGTCCAGCTTTCAAATGTGTCAGGAGCAGCTGAAAAGACCATGGCTTGGATCAGGCGCACCTTACCCTTAAACACAGACACTGTTGCTCTTCAGCATTTTGGAGATGTCCTCTTTGACAGCAGACGCTTCCAATGCAGCACCTCTTTTGAATTCTTCACTGTTGCTACCATGGTTGACGACTGTGCATCCAAGTAAAACAACATAACTGAAGTTGAATAAAAGATATTTTCCATTAATAGGCTGTAAATTTTATAAAATCCTCTCACAGTATTTCTGGTATCCCTGTTTATCACCAAGGCCATATTTTCCAACTACTTATTTTTGTTTCCAGCGTTCACATTCCAATGCACAGTAATTAGAAATATATCTTGACTGCATGTCCGATCAATGCCAGGCTGCAGAAACTGGTAAAAATCTTCAGTTTCTTTATCCTTGCCATTCGTGGTTGGTGTATGTTATGGACTGAACTGGACCGCCCCAAAATGTATGTTGTAAGTCCTCACTGCTGCGTCTTAGGAACCCATTTGGGAATGAGCTGTCTTTGTTACATTAATGAGGCACAATTAGTGTAGTTTATGTCTAAAGTCAATCTCTTGAGATCTAAAAAGAGATGAAATGTAAACTAGGAGCAGAGATGAGGCAACGCACATCCCAAGAAACACGGAGCTCTCCAAGAAGCCAGGAGATCGGGAGAGACAAGGACTTTCCTTCAGAACCAACACAGTGAGAACCGCATCTCCTTGCATGGACAATTTCAATTTGAACACCTTGTCTCCTTAACCACAAGAAAATCATTTGTTCATTAGAGCCATTCAACTGAGGCATTTGTGGTACAGTTCGTTCATTCTTCATTTTCAAGGCTACAGAGTCAGAACCAACTCAGAGCTGACCCTCCAGTGGGTTCTCCTAGCCTGTCAATCTCACGGGAGGAGACTGTCACCTTTCTCCCTCGAAGCCACTGGTGGCCCCAAACCACTAGAGAGGCGTCATGTTGGGGCTAGCAGCCCAGATCCCCACAGACTGGGCCACCAGAGCAACACCAGACAATTACAACAGGACATAGACAGAACACAGTGTGACTGAACGGAGTAGTGTGTGAAACAATGTGTACAAACAAAACACAAGGTGTAAGGATTTCATACACAAAACTATATAAAACAAACAAAATTTTTAAATAGTACATATATTTTAGCATAGGTCTTCCTTTTCTGTGTGTAATAGTTTCCTATCACTGACAGCACTGGACTTTAGCAGAGATCTTGAAATGTCCATTTTGACGATGAATGTGGAAGTGTCCTAAAGTTACTCGCGTTCCCATAGTAGGCCAATCTCCATCTGTTCCATCTCACCACTGATTTTCAAGCATTCAATTTTATTTTCAGTAACTTCCAGGTGGTGGTGGTTGTTTTTATGTGCCTGCAACTCATAGCGACCTTGTGTACAACAGCCCTAAACCCTGCTCCGTCCTGTGCCAATCTCACTGTCTCCGACACACCCATCCCAATCACCCCAGTCACTGAATCAATCCACCTCATAGAGGGCCTTCCCCTCCTGCACTGTCCCTCCACCCTTCCAAGCATGATGTCCCTCACCAAGGACCGGTCCCTCCTTACAGCATGTCCAAAGTATGTTAGACAGAGCCTCAGAATCCTTGCCTCCAAGGAGCAGCCCAGTTTAACCCTTTCCAGGACAAGTCTGTTTGTTTTCCTAGCAGTCCATGGTACATTCAATATTCTTCGCCAGCCCCACAGCTCAAAGGCATCAATTCTCCTTCTGTCCTCCCTTGTCATTGTCCAACTCTCTGATGCATAACAAGTGACTGCAAAGACCACGGCCTGTATCAGACGCACCTAAGTCTCCAGAGTGACACCATAGTGCTTCAGCACTTTGGAGAGGTCCGTAACAGCAGACTTTCCCATCGCAATACGTCTGTTAATTTCCTGGGGGTTGGGGAAATTTTTATTGCCATACATTGTATGTTTCACATTCCAATTTCTAATGGACGTTTGCAACTTTTTTTTTTAAAAAAATTTCAAATTTGGCCACACCAGCAAATGAAGATCTTGAAAGCTTTACTCTACTCATATCAAGGTCAACTCTATCCCGAGGTTGTTCTGTACCAAAAAAATCAAACCAATTGACAGCTGACACTCCAGCGGGTTTCCGGAGGTAAATTAACTGCACGGGAGGAAACTGCCCATCCCTCTCCTGAGCATCAGCTGGTGGATTCAAACTCTGTGCCTCTGAGTCGGCAGCACAACTCCTTGTCACTAAGCCACCAGAGCTCCCAACTCTTCTCTGAGCAGGTAGTTGTCCTTCTCCAGTTGTGTGTTACGTGCCCTTCAATGTGAGGGGCTCATCTTCACACACCAGATCAGACAATGTTCCAGTGTCAGTCCTAAGAGCGTTACGGGAACAGCTTATTCAGAAGGAGAGTTCCCACACCCATGTTTATCATGGCTTTGTTCACAATAGCAAAGAGCTGGAAACAACCTAAGTGCCCATCAACAAACAAATGGATAGAGAAGCTGTGGTATAGTCACACAATGGAATACTA